CGCCTGCGGATGCTCGGCCCGGGGAGGTCGGGGAGCGCTCGGGGGCCGTTCCTGGCCCCGGGCCGAGCGCTGACGGCCGCGTCTCGCCCCCAGGGAATGCGCACAAGGGCCCGAAGGAGCGGTACCGAGTGGGTTCGTTGCTCGGCCGTGGCGGATTCGGCAGCGTCTTCGCAGCCACGAGGCTCTCGGACGGTGCCCCGGTGAGCAGCGGGGCCGGCGGCGGGCGGAGCAGGAGGGGGAGAAGGAGGAGAAGGAGTTGGATGGTGCGGAGGAGAAGGCGGGGGCGCTGCGGGGTGGGCATCGAGCTCAACCTTCTGCTGCCCCTTGCTCGCAGGTGGCCATCAAATGCGTGCCGCGGGATCGCGTCCGGCGCTGGGGCGAGCTGGTGAGTGAGCGGGGCCAGCGGCAGAAGCCGGGGCGTGCCGGGCGGGGATGAGCCGGGGCCCGGCAGGGTGGGAGCCACCAGGACACCTGGAGGGAGAGCGGGCGTGGGGCCAGCGGAGGGCACAGAGCATCCCGGGCTGGCTGAGGGCTCCCCGAGCCCTGGCACGGGCTCAGCCCCACTGACGGCACCGTGCTCCTCCCGCAGCCCGACGGTACACGTGCGCCCCTGGAAATCGTGCTAATGGACAGGGTGTCCTCTGGGTGTGCTGCAGTGATTCAGCTCCTGGAGTGGACTGAGCTGCCCAACAGCTTCCTGTTGGTGCTGGAGCGTCCGCAGCAGTGCCAGGACCTCTCGCGTTTGCTGGCAGAGCGGAGGTTCCTGCCGGAGGAGGAGGCGCGGGGGCTGTTCTGCCAGGTGCTGGAGGCCGTGCGGCACTGCACCAGCTGCGGGGTCCTGCACAGGGATATCAAGCCCGAAAACATCCTGCTGGACCTCGCCACAGGGCAGTTGAAACTCATTGACTTTGGCTGTGGCACCTTCCTCCAGGACACAGCCTACACCCGATTTGCAGGTGAGCCCTCGCAGGGGATGTTCCTGGGCATCTCTTGGCCCAGCCTGGGTGTGGGACCGGGGCTTCCCCCTGTTGCTGCCAAGATGGGATTAATACTTGAGCCAAGTTGATTTGGGTAGGGATGTGAGGGGGGCCAGCTCCCAGCCCTGCTGACAGCCTTCAGCAGCCACTATGCCCTGGGCTGGGGCTGGGGCAGGCAGCCTGACAAAATCCCTCATGGGGGTAGCAGAGATGGGAGTGTCTGACCCTGTTTGGTGTGCCAGCGAGGAAGGGCTTGAACTCCTCTGCTCCCCACATTTGCCTTGGCTTATTAACAGTTTTTTGGAGGCCATGCAGGCAGGGAGGAGAGTGGGTTTTCTCTACCACCGGCTGGATTTTCCTTTTGTGGGTCATGGTTGGGCCTCCCCAGTGCTTCTGCTGCCCTCTTCCAGAAGCAGTGGCTTCATTTGCAAGCCCGAGGTTGTACACAAGTCCCAGGTGCTGGCGAGAGGGCAGCAGGTCACCCCGTGTGCCTCTGGGGCAGCCCCCACATGCCCAGGGATGCTGGGGCCAGGCTCTGGGAGCAGCAGCATCCCCCTGATGAGCTCTGTCTGTGTTCCACAGGAACCCTGTCCTACAGCCCACCAGAGTGGTTCTTCCAGCGACGTTACCACGGCCAGGCAGCAACCATCTGGTCCCTGGGGCTCCTGCTGTACCAGCTGGTGACAGGGAAGCACCCATTCAGGAAGGGCCAGCAGATTGTCTGGGGGAGGATCATCTTCCCACGACGGCTCTCCCAAGGTGAATCCTCATCTCTGGGCATGGAGGGAACACCAGGGTTGGGAGACAGCAGTGGGGTCATGAGCATCCTGCTCTGGCAACTGCTGAGGAGGTGGCACATGTCCTGCTCTCCTGCAAACAGGGAATCCATGGGGAAATTTAGGCCCAGCTCTGGGCACACCCAGCATGGCCTGGGCACAGGAACAGGGGTCAACTTCTCCAAGTGACCGGTGATTCCTGGTTTCTCTCTTCAGAGTGCCAAGATGTAATTAAGAGATGTTTGTCCATGCAACCCTTGGACAGGCCATCCTTAGAAGATCTCTTCCAAGACCCTTGGATTCAGGGTGTTCATCTGCCCTAGAAGATGGGAGAGATCCATGTGCACAGTTGGATCCAGGGGCCTGGCAGGTAACAACTCCACCCATCTCTTGGCAATCAGTGGTAAAGCAAAGCAGACTGTTTTTGTCCTGCCTGTAGCTCCCAGCAGGGGTCATCAGAAGGGAACACACAGCTCTTGCGCTGGAGCTGAGCTGGCGACCTGGTGTGGCAAGCACTGGTGGCCACATCCTCCCTGGTTTTGCTTGTCTGCTTGACTTATGGCTGGGTCCCTGGGCAGAGCACTGACAGCCTGGTCTGGCCCCTAGGGAAGGAGAAGGAGCCCCTGGAGAATCTGTACCAGGTGGGGCTGCTGCGGGAGACACCACGGACAACCTCAAGGATGACAATGTATTCCTCCATGTGGCCAGCTGAAGATGATCAACTTTGATTCTGGCACCTTCTTCAAAGACACACTCCACGCCCAATTTGCAGGTGAGTCCACAGCCAGGGGGATGCTCCCAGATCTGGGCATGGCACAGCCTGGCCGGCACCAAAGATTCACCCCTTGGCTGGGGTGGATGCAACCAATTCTTCAGTCGGCTGCCAGTCTGCTTTTTGTCTCTGGGCAGCTGCTGAGGGGCTGGATCTGCCGTGGCTGGCTGCAGGCTGGGCACATGTCCTGCCCTCCTGCTCTGCTCCCAAAGGCAGCAGTGATGGGCAGCTTTGGGCCCAGCTCTGAGCACGGCCAGCATGGCCTGGGCACCGTGGGTGGCTGGGACAAGGGGACAGGAGCCTTGAGCTGACGGGCGGTTTCTGGTTTCTCTCCTTGCAGCCGGGCTTTGCAGATGCTGAGGCTGCTCTGGGCTCTGCCAGGGCTCTGCTGGGCTCAGCCCCAAGCATGGCTGGGCTTGCTCTGCCCTCCCATTGCTCTGACAGCTTTCCACCAGACGAGCCCATTCCCAGCACACCGCCTGAGCTTTCTGCTTTTGCAGGTGAGTGAGACTCTCCTGCAGGCCAAGCGATTGCAGTTAGGGACACGCATCCAATTGGCAAGAACCCAGTCTCTCCACAGTCCCAGCTGAATGCCTGGATCTGCACAGGATGTTTTCTGTGTCGCACTCTTCCTTTCTTTTTGGCTGGAATTGTGCAATTGCACTTTCTTCCTCCTCTAGAAGTGCCACTGCTGTGATCCTGAGGCGGTGCAGTCTGGAGCTTATGGATGAAGAAGAATTGCCCTTCTGCACTTCCAAGCCAGAGCCAAAAGCTGTAAGTGGGACTTTGCATCTTTAAGAAAGCCCTGAATGTTTGAAAGGGAATGTGCAGCTCATTCACAGGGTGAGAAGGAAGGGCATCTTCTAAAGGATTTGGGGTTTGACAGAGTTTAGATTCCCAGTGCTGCTTGGAGCTGGCAGGGTGCAAAGCAATTTCTTCTCGCTTCACACCAATTCCACCACAATTTAAAATAACAATAATGGAATCAAACCCCAAAATCTTTTTAAAAAAGGTTACTGAGGCCAGTAAGCTGCATCGTACCATCAGCACATTTACAAAGTAAATAACTGAGTTCTATGTTTCAAAAACCAATTACCACTTAATTCAAAGTTATAGAAGATTTTTCACTGCACACTTAGGTTCTGTTTTTATCTTTCACATTTTACAGCAGGTTTTTTTTTTCTATTTTCTCTTTTCTCCCCTTAAGGCAGAAAACATGCTGTAAAAAAGGCATGCCCTTTGCTCCTGGTTCCCGTGTGGAGCAGCTCCCTTCGCGCTGGCTGAGCTGCTCAGGCAGAGCCCGGCAGCTCCCCGCCCTGCAGGACTGAGGCTTTTCCCCGTTGCTGGGCACAGACTGATGGAGCAGCAGTGCTGAACACGGGGACACGCAGAGGGACCAGAGCAGCTGCCTTTGTCCACCTGAAGCTCCAAGGCCAAACTCTGAGCAGGCACGGCTGGAAGAGACTCGCAGGCTCCCTGTTGGCTCTGCTGCCCCACTTGTGCCCGGCCCAGCTCTGTGTGAGGCAGAGGGAGAACAAGGGGCAGCTCCCTCCTAGCCCCAGCCCAGGGACCCCTCCAGCCCCAGGCCTTGGGCCACTGTCAGCACCTGCTGCTCCAGCCACGGCTTCTGCTGGCACTGCCAGCAACAACCAAAGTGGGGCTGGTCCCGAGGGAGCAGCAGCAGTGCCTGGATCTGATCCCTCAGTCTGGGGCAGGGCTGGACAAATGCCCCCCCCACCCCAGCAGCAGCAGCAGATGGAACCGACTTTCAGCACAGCCCCTGGCACTCTTCCCTCCCTGTGCAGCGGTGTCACAGCAGCCTGAGGCACCTGGGAGCCCTCAGTGCCAGCAGGGACTTGAGATGGCAGCCCTGGGCTCCTGCAGGTTGTGCCAAGAATAGAGCTGGGGACTCCCTCTCCATGTGGAGCTTGCAGATGGAAAAGGCTGCTGTGACCAGGCAGCTCCAAGGGCACAGAAAGGAGGGGCTCGACCTCTTGATCTGTGCCAGTGCCACAGTCCTGGGCAGCAGCCACCGAGCCCTGGGGGAACAGAGGGCACAGCAAGAGGGCCAAAACCAGGCAAGGTCAGAGACTGGGAAGAGCCAGAGCTGGGAGCAGGAGCAGCTGCTTCATTGCACTCTTGGAGAAAGCTCTTGTGTGGTTCAAAGCGCTGAAAGGTGTGGAGGGCAGAGAGGAGGCCACACCAAACAATGCTCCTGTTTGACACGTCCCCTCTCCGTGTTCCAGAAGGAATTGGATGAAGTGTATTCTTCTCTCCGAGTGGTCTCCTTCAGTGTGAGCAGCTGAGCAGCAGGAGCTGAAGGATCTGAAGCCTCAGGCCACAAGAGCTGAGCAAGAGGGGGCTTTTGGACCTAAGTAATGCTGCTAAGTAATGGACCTAGGTGAATGCAGCATATGGAGTCCTGGAATTATAGAATCCTTTCTGCTGGGAAAGACCTCTGAGCTCATCCAGTCCAGCCAGTCACCCAGCAGTGTCAAGCCCAGCACTAAAGCTCATCCCTGAAGTGCCAAGGTCTGAACAACAGGCCCTGAGTGAGGCCTGAACAACAGGCCCTGAGCCAAAGGTGACCTGTGGATGAACCTTCCAGCCAAAGGTTATCTGTGTATCTGCTCATTACTGAACTATGCATGGTCATTAGCAGTGGGATAGATGTATCCACTCATTAGTGAAGCGTTGATTGAGGTTTCTATGTTTAGAAGTCAGACAAGGCCATGAAATCCAACATCTGGCCTTGTTTGGGGTGTATGGTCAGAGTCAACTGCCTTGGTTCCTCCTTGAGGCCTGGCCAGGCTTTGGCAGGGACCCAAGAGGAGGATGAAACCAGATGTTCCCACACCAGAAGTGCTGTCAGTTTGTTTATTCAGCACTATCAGGGCTGGGCCCTCTCACAGCAGGTTTGGAGGCTCAGCTGTGGCTGGAGGCCCCTGCAGGAATTCCCAGTGTCTGGAGTGGCTCTCCAGCCCTTGGCTGTGACAGCTTCTCCAGCTGATGTGTGGATGTGGGGATGGCAAAGTCTGAGGGGAACAGGTGCTGGATCTTTGTTAATCACTGCAGGCAATCTTTGGCAGTGATGATTGGGTGCATTGCTGAGCTGCTCCTTTTGTGATCCTTTGCTGCTTGGAGCTGCAGTAAATGACACTGATTCCTTCAGGTGGTGTTTGTGTTTCTGGGGCTGACCCTGCTGCCCACTGGTAGAACAAAATTGGTGAAGCCTGACCAGAGCACAACAAAATGTCACTTTTTAAATGTGAATGTAAGGAATCAGTCCCATCTGTAATTCTCAGATGGGAAGCCCTTCCCTAGAGTTTGCTGGCTCTGGAGTGGGCTGAGGTCAGAGCACCGTGTGAACAGTGGGGCAGTGGGTTAAAAGAGGCTGAAGCGCCGGATGTCTTAAAATGCATCCAAAAATTGCATATGGAAAAGGGCTTGTGGGTTTGAGAAGATGAGGATGGATTTTGTTAATGGCACATTGGAAGAAGGAACAAGTGTTTTTGGAATGCTCCCACATGAAGGTCCAGAAGAAAGTTTTAGTCTTGAGCTCAGGTTTGTTTCTGCAAGTGAAATAATACTACTACTACTACTACTACTACTACTAATAATAATAATAATAATAATGAAATATAATACAGTAATTAACATAATACTATAATATAACACAAAAATATATATTTCTATATATATATCTAAAAATCGATAGTGTGAAATAATGCTGAAAATACTAACTTGTTAGCTTTGGCTGCTCACTGTAACACTAAATATCCTACAAAAAAAGGCTGGCCAAGACCCAAATGTCAGTACAATATGCTTTGCAAATTGTATAGAAGGAATAAAGAGGGAAGGGATGAAATTGGCTGTTCTTATAGGGTTTGCTTATGCTGTGATGTGGAATGCTTTGTCTATTCCTGTGAAAAACACAGTGATTAAGACTGCTGGGTTTTTCATGTACCAGACTATCCACAAGCTGCAGGATTGGTTGAACAGGTGAAGGGGCTGTTAAAAAAGAAGTTGAAAAAATGAGGAGAGATAGGAACTTGTCCTGGTGGAGACCCCATCTCCCAGATGTGCTCCATGCCCTTAACAATGGGCCCACTGGGAAATGGAAACCCCTGGGTGTGCATGGCTGCACCCAATTTGCAAACACAGCCATGGACAGTGAGACTTGGACTGCCTGGGAAATTGTTCTGGCTCTGATGGCCCCTGCCAGGGCCACCCCAGAGGCTGCAGGGCTGGACCTTCATGCACTGGAATTCATTAGGATAAATCAGAAGCAAATGAGAGTTAACAATACTGAAACAGGAATTCACATTCCTCCTGGACACTTTGGTTTGGTAACTGCTCACTGGAGCTTGGCCTTGCAAATTGTTCATGCCATGGGAGGAGGAATTGATGCAGATTATCAAGGAGAAATGAAAATAATTCTGTTAAAAATAATGAACAAGATTGGATTATTCAACCCCATGACAGGGTAGCACAAATATTGATATTACAGTTTAAAAATGATTGTGGAAAAAGGTCATCCACCTCCAGGCAGCACTGACTGTAGAGATAAAAGGTTTGGATGCACCAGTCCTAATAATTGGGCCAGAATGTGGGTCCAGAGGTCCAAATGGCCCTCCTGAGCCAGCTGAAGGAACAGCTCTGGGCAAAGACAACACGGTTTGAATCCTGAGACCTGGGCAGGAACAATGGGGATATGTCCCTGCAGCCAAGTGTTCTCTGCCAGAACAAGTCCATGGGATGGGATATTGTTTTACAGATGCTGCCAGACCAAATCTCCCTGTTTGCCCCAACAGCCCCTTTGGAAAATGCTCTGATCCACAGGGCTCCATGTGAAGGCTGATGTGACACTGAGGGACTTCCACACCAATTCCAGCCAGGAGCCTGGGTGCCCCTCAGGGACTGGGACCTGGCTCCTCTCCAGCCAAAGGGAAAAGGACCCCAGCAAGCCTTGTTAGCCACAGACAGCGCTGTAAAGCTGAACAGCAAAGGACCTTGGGGGCATTATTCTGGAATTAAAAAGGTGTCATCTCCATGGACAACAGAATTATTGTTCCTAACGTGAATGCGTGTGAGGAAAAAGAATGAGTAACCTTGTCACTAAAGCACTACTGATGTCTGCAAGTTGTATCTTGAGAGTCAGCCAGAATCTTTGTTTGCCAGAAACACCTCTGGAGTTTTATCAAGGCATTAGTCATCAAAACTATTTTAAAAATTTAAAGATCCAAGTAGCCAAAATACTCAATGTAACTAATTGCTGGGTATGTGTCAACCAATGTTGGGAGGAATGGGGTTCCCTTGGAGGGCCCACCCTGTGGGGTGGCCAGAACTCTGTCAATGGGCTCTGACTCGTAACGGAGCCAGTGCAGGGACACTTAGAGAAAACTGTGCTGTGGAACACAGGAATGCAATTATCACTTTTACAGGATTCACTGAGATCTCCCTTCAGGACAAACCAAACCCTGTTCTAGTTGGAGGCCCCAATGTGTAAGGATTTCTGTGCTTTACCATCACAAGCTTACTCATTCCTTTTCCTCGCTCTCATTCACGTTAGGAACAATAATTCTGTTGTCCATGGAGATGACACCTTTTTAATTCCAGAATAATGCCCCCAAGGTCCTTTGCTGTTCAGCTTTACAGCGCTGTCTGTGGCTAACAAGGCTTGCTGGGGTCCTGTCTTTGCCCAGAGCTGTTCCTTCAGCTGGCTCAGGAGGGCCATTTGGACCTCTGGACACGCATTCTGGCCCAATTATTAGGACTGGTGCATCCAAACCTTTTATCTCTACAGTCAGTGCTGACTGGAGGTGGATGACCTTTCTCCACA